CAGAGGTCCATCAGTGGCTATTAGCCACAAGGTATAGATAGGGGCTCTGGGGCAACTGATGCTCTGTCTTCTTGTAGCCTCCTCCCCCTGCACCAACGGCGACGCCCAGGCCTGCCAATCCTTCTCCCCCCACACCCCGGCACCAACACCTTCCAGCCGCCAGGCCTGCCAATCCTTCTCCCCTGCCCCCCGCACCAGTGGCAACCCCTGCCAAGCCTTCTCCCACTCCCCCCAGCGGCAAGGCCCAAGCGGTTCCCAGCTGCCGAGCCCTCCGAGCCTCTCCCCCAATGGCCAGAGTGTTCTCTGCGCACATGCAGGGGACACTTTTACTTTTGGGGGGATTTAAATATACCCCATATTTTTTTCCAACTTGTTAGATTTTTCTGCACACCTGGGAACTGCTCCAAGTGTGCAGGAAAATCTCTCTGCCCCCCAAGTGCCCCTGATGTGCGGATTTAGATATCCACATGGAGGGGGCAACTTGGCTATTAGATATATAGATTTTTTTTTGCCCCCCAAAGGGGATTTTTAAATTGCTTTTTCTATAAACTACATACAACGAAAAAATAGGGAGGGAACATCTACATCTAAGGAGAAAGGAAAGAAAACCACTAATAACTAAAACCCCAAGTATAGGAGATCGTTACATCAGCTTATTTAAGTGTTAGTCTAAAATGCTTACATTACATTGAACATAGTCGATTAAGCTAAATTATTTATCCTTTTAACCATTTTTAGACTGTTTAAAGACAACCCCAAGACCATCATTTATATCACTTGCTTTAAGGCACCATTCAGAGTCCTTCAGCCTTCACTTTGCTTCTTTTCTAATCCTCAATTGGTATTCTCGTTTAGGAGCAGCCGCCCCCTTTTCTGAAGCAGAATCCTCGTCGGAAGACACAGAGTCCAATTCACCGCTAGATTTGCTGTTATCTTCTTCTTTAGCGTCCTCAACTGGTTCTCCCAGTTGCAATCTCAAGAACTCATGTACTTTGGAAACAGTGTCATTTTTTTCTTTTTTGTCCTGCAGTTTGAAAATGATGCCTTCAGGGGTTAACCATCTGTAGGAAATGCTGTTTGTTTGTAGAAAAAGGATTAAGTCTTTATACTTCTTCCTCTTCTTCCTTATTTCAAATGGGATGTCTTTTAAAATCCTGATGGTGCTGCCTCCGATTTTCAGTGGTGTTCCTGTAGTTGCTTTCAGAATAGAATCCCTCACATGTCTCTTCGAGAATCTAACCACTATTTCTCCAGGCAGATTATTTTTCTTGATGTAAACGGAATAGGCCCTATAGACCACATCCATTTCACTTATAAGATATTCCGCTTTTCAGTCTGTAACTGGAGCTAATGCATCGCTCAAAAGGTGCTTTAGATTCTCGTCTTTTACTTCAGGGACCCTTTGGAACCGGAGGACCAGGTTAGCTTTCTCCATTTGCAGTTGTAAAAGTTGAGATTCATCTGAAGCTTGCTTCCTTTCCAGCATTTGCACCTTTTTCTTGACTTTTTTGGAGTTGGCATCTATTTCCTTTACTTTCTCAGCTGTTTGCTCTGTCTTTTTTGTGGTTTCCGACAGTTGGAGCTGCTGAGTTGCAAAATTCTGGTTTAGAGTTGTCTGCTGCTGATTGATGTTAGTCATCTGATCCCGTAGAGGGTCCGCCAAAAGATTAGAGAACTCAGTGGTCTCTTCTGGTCGTGGGCTCATGCTCCCCGGTGGTTTCACTTTTGCTTGTTTGTCTTTCTCCATTTTTTCCCATGCCATTTTTAATGAATTGTTTACTTTTGCCAAAACTTGCTAAAGTCTCTGAAATTCGCCCAACGCCTCTGGTAAGGTTCTTAAAACAGATTTCAACGCTTTTAATTCTGACCCTGTATAGAAAAATTGATTTCTATTTTCTATATCCACATGCCTTCTCCTGTGATTACATTATGATAACATGCTGTGTCTTATTTCCTGTTGCAAG